TGGGTTAATGTTGGACTTGTGGGCTTGGGCAGCATTGGGTTGGGATGTTTTCATGATGCACATTTTCTTTACATAAAACTCTCTTATACATGAGTCGCTGTGGATTTGTTTCTCCAAAGTACCTAGACTAATACAGGACCGGTCAGCCCAAGGGGGCCTTTCTCAGTGGGGATCCCATCTTGTTCTGGGAGGGGAACCCCCAAAGGGCATTATCAAGCGCTCCTGTCCCAGGAAGTTCTGAGGAGAGTTTAGCGGTTCTACCCAGTGAGGGACTAAGGTGCCCCAGGGGGGAGGGAGGGAGAGGCTGAGGGGCCTAAGAGATAAGGAGGGGCTGATGGGTCCAGAAGGGAGGGAGGGACTCTGAGGGGTGGTCCTGGGAGGGAGGAGAGATGCTGAGGGGCCTCAGAGGGAGGGAGGAGCTAAGGGGGTGTTCCAAAAGAGTGGAAGGGGGTAAGGGGTTCATGGGGGAGGGGCAGACTGTGGGGTCCCAGGAGGCAGGGAGGGGCTGATGGGCCCCAGACAGGAGGAAGGTGATGGGGCAGGGGTTGGAGGGGTGAGAGGGGGTTAGGAAATCCCAGGAGGGAGGAGCTGGGGCCCACATAGTCAATGGCTGTAGCATTGCCAGAAGGCGTCCCTGTGAGGTTATGAAGCAGAGTGTCTTGGATGGAGAAGGGAGACAGTGTGAAAGAGTAGATCCTTTTGGGGGGCAGGGGCGGGGTTCCCAGCCTCCCCGTGTACCTCCAGTGAGCACCAGCCTAACAGCAATGGAACTGCCCCACCTGCCCCGGAGGAGGCTGGGTCCCCTCCCTGGGACCAGGGCTAAGGCGTTCACCTTCAGCGTGGACACCACCTCGTCCCCGTTGTCCTTGGTGGCGATGGCGTAGCGCATCACGCGGTCGGGGTCAATGACCGTGTCCCCCTTCTCCCAGCGGATGATGATGGGCCGCTCGCCGCGCGCTGTGCAGTTCAGCTCCTTCGGGTGGCCCTTGATGGCGATGGTGGTGTTGGGGTGGGAGGTGATCATGGCCGGGACTGGGGGAGGGGAGGAGGGTCAGGAGTGGGGGTCAGGCTGCCCCATGCAGAGGCCCCGCCCTCCCCAGGAGCACCTCTGCTCCCCCGGAGAACCAGCTCGGCACCCCTACTGGTCGGCCCCGAGACTGGCGCAGCTGCCCCTAGCTGCCCCTCTTGTGCCGCAGGGCGGGAGGGCTCCACGTGAAGTTCAGCTCTGCTGAAATACGCCTGCGTGAATGTCAAAGACATTACTGAGCCGACCTCGGAAGTCACACACCCACACTTCGCGGATCCATACCCTCCTACGCCCTTTCCTACGGAAGCCACGCGGACGCCCGTGTGTGTGTGTGGGGGGGGGGGGGGCATGGTTCACGGTACACGGTGGTGCCCACCCCCAGCAGCTGGTTTCGTGTGCCTTCTCACTTCCACCTGGGCATGACCACGATTCCGATTCCGTAAGAGCGATGAGCACACAGCAGTTTCAGATGAGGATTTCTGACTTTTTTTTGAATAGCTGGCTTTCTGTTGGTGGAAGTTGTAGGTACAGCCACTGCTATAGCTTGTTGCTATGCTCACAACAGGAGGAAATGTCAAGTTAAGTTCGGTTGGCCAAATCACTCAGACTCAGGTGGTGCTGTGGGTGAAGCGCCCTGGCTGCGAACCACAAGGCTGGCTGTCTGAAACCGCCACACTACTCCTGGGGGACAGGCGAGGCTGTCTGCTCCTGTAGAGACACTCCGTCCTGGAGACACTGTGGCAAGGGGGTCACTGAGAGTCCGCAGCAGCGGCTCTGTGGCAATGAGTTTAGTTTGGTTCTGGCTCCACACAGAGACCGTGACAAGCAGGGCCCCTGGTCAGAAGGTACCAGATGACAGACTCATCACTCCAGCAGAGGATGGTGCAGGCTGGGCTGGGAAGAGCCACTTTCAGAACTCAGCTGGGAGGGACTGTGGAGAGGGCCCCGGGCCGAGCCCTCCTTGAGCAAAGGCTCTCAGGCAGAAGTAAGAGAGGTGGGGGTCTGGTGCGAATGGTAGGGCCACACTTTTCCCTTAGCTTCATCCCCTCCCTGGGAGAACCCACTGCCAGGGTCTTTTGATTTCTGGACTGCTGCTTCCATGAGTGCTTCCATGGGCCCCAGTCATTCTTGTCACGGGAGGGGTGCTCAGCAGGCCGGCGGGACAGCAATGGGGTGGGGCCACGCTCCTCCCTTGGGGAGGACCCCTCCTCCTTTTGAGCCTGGCAGAGCAGAGCCCCAGCTCCCCACGTCTTCCGTTCTTCTCTCTGTGCCCGAGCCTCCGCCCCTGCCTGCTGGCACCAGGTTCTGCCCATGGTGCTGCTAGTTGTTCTCGGTGCTGTGCGACAATTCTGACTCGCGGCGACCCTGTGGGGAACAGAAGGTAACACTGTCCGGTCCTGCCCCATCTTCACAGAGGTTGTTAGGTTTGAGCCCGTTGGCCGCAACCACTCTGTCGATCCATCTTCTGGCAGGGCTTCCTCTCTTCTACTGGACCTCTTCTTCACCCAGCCTCAAGGCCTTCTCAGGGACTGGTCCCTCCCCATCACTTGCCCACAGCATCTGAGATAAAGTCTCACTGTCCTCATCTAAGGAGCATTCTGGCTGCACCTCTTCCAAGACAGATGTGTTTGTTCTTTCGGCAGTCCGTGGTACTGCCAATATTCTTCACCACTATCTTAATTCAAAGGCTTCGATTCTTTTTCAATCTTCCCTATCCAGTGTCCGACTTTCACACTCGTGTGAGGCGGTGGCCCTTACCGTGACTTGGGTCAGGAGCGCTTTAGCCCTCCAAGGGACAACTTCGCCCCTCAACACTTTAAAGAGGTCTTGTGCAGCAGATCCACCTGACGCAACACACCTTTGATCTCTTGGACTGCTGCTTCCATGAGTGCCCATTGCGGGTCCTAGACAAACGAAGTCCGTGACAACTCAAGTCGTTTTTCTGTTGCTCATGATGTTGTCCGTCGGTCCAGTTGTGAGGATGTCTGCTCTCTTCACATTGGGTTGCAATCTAGGCTGCAGGCTGTCGTCTTTGCTTTTCAAAGGCTGGTCCCCCGTCATTCCATCTCACTGTCCTCAAGACCCCTGCACCCCCATCCTTCTCAGCCTAAAGACCTGCTCAGACCGAGTTCTTCCCAAACAATGCTCCAGGGACACTGGGCTCTGGAGGACAAATGAGCCTCCGGAAAAGAAAGGACACCACAGAGCCACAGTGGTGGGACCAGGGCACCTGTCAGGGTGACAAGCCATTGGGAGTAGCTGTGGGGGATGTAGGGGCTTTCTGGCTAAGTCACATCCTCCTGGGCAGCCCTCCTCCAGATGGTGGTGCCAGAGGAGAGCCCGCTCAGGCCCAGCCCCTGCCCCAGGCCCTGGCCCGCTCCCCAGACCTGGCTCATCAGACAATGAGCAGGCACATTTTATAATGCACGGCTTTACACCAGGATAGACAATAAAATACGCAAGACAAATAACTAGGTGCAAGTTATAATGAAGAAAAAGCCTGCAGTCAGAGACATCCGAGTATGAATTATTGACTAAGGTTTTACACTCTCAAGGATGTGCGGAGGAATATTTTTCCATCAAAGATTTGCATAATTCACTCGTATAAACCTGGGTAGAATACAGAGTAAGACTTTACATCAACAAGTCGGGTCTGGCATGGCAGATGCTTCCATTTTTTACTGGAGAATTGAGATGTGGTGGGTGGAAGAAGGCAAAGTGAGGGGTGGGGAGGCATGTGGTTTATTACTTTTGCTTGTTCCCCAGGGAACAAATGGATCAGCGGCTGGGGCACAGGACCCCTGGGCAGTTGCTTCTGATGCCTCAGAGGATTGGGATGCATGGGGAGAGTGGGATGCGTGTGTGTGAAGCCTTTTGCACACACAGGTTCAAATCTCAGCACAGCCAGACTTGGGATGGGAGTGGAAAAAGGAAGGGCCCTTTTAGGATAGGTTGACTTCAAAGCTCTGCCCAGCACCCCCCTGTTCTGCTCTATGGGCAGGGCAGGGCAGTACTATCCTGTCCAGGGCTTGTGTGCAAATTCTAAGGCAGTGGAACAGTGGATGCCGTCTAGCAAGCCCTGGTGGTGCAGTGGTTAAAGCTCTCAACTGTCCACCTAAAGGTTGGCAGTTTGAACCCAGCAGCCATTTCAAGGGAGAGAGATGTGGTAGTCTGCTTCGGTGAAGATTTACAGCCTGGGAAACCGGAAGGGGCTGTTCTACTCTATCCTATAGGTGTGCTGAGTCAGAGTCGGACACCGTGGAGGTGGCTTGGTTTATCATTGGTGGGATGCAGCCTGCCATATCACCGGTCCCCTTTGGGTGTGCCCCTATGGACAGTGCACAGCCTGTGCATGCATCCATGCTGGTAGGTGGGGATCATCTCTGAGAATGTGTCTTCCCTGTGCTGGTGGGAGTTTTGCACACTCACCAGCAGCCAGCTGCAGCAAAGCCTCTGGAGATCCGAGACACACCTCGGAGCCCAATGGACCCTCAGCTCTGCCTCATGATGCTGATGACTGCGGTGGACTCCCTTCACACCCCTACCAGGCAACTGCTGCTCATCATGGCAACGAGACCACACACCACAGTCTCCCTCCAGGGGCTCTTCTTTACAGCTCCCCTGGGGAGCTTGTCTATGGAGAAGGGGACACAGCTTGTGTCCCCTGCACCCCAAAAACTCAACTCAAAGGGCTTGGTGGCCAGGAGGACTTGGCTTCTATGTCTTCCCCTACCAGTTATGTGGCCGTCAATGTCCTGCACATCTCTGAGCCTCAGGTGCATTTCCCGTGTTACGAAAACACGGATATGTACCACCCCCTGGGACTGTTCTAAGGATGAAATGAATCGGTCTCTGTCAAGTGTTTGTCATGCAGTCAGTGCTCAAGAAAGATGGGCTCTATCTCCACCCCTGGGGGTAGACTTCTTGGCTTCCAGGCAGAAGAGAGACATGAGTTCGAATGCCAGCCAATACAGCTCACGGGGCAACCACCAACCGTTTGTCAGTGGGAGCTTTTGGGTGGCCATGATGCTGAACAGGCTTCTGTGGAGCTTCCAAAAGAAAACAGACTAGGAAGAAAGGCCTGGCAATCGATACTTTCTAACACCAGCCAATGAAAACTCACAAGGGTGCAGTCTACAAGGGATCGTGGGATGTCTCAGGGCCAGGCAGCATGTCATTCTGTTGAGCATGCAGTCACCATGAATCAGGAGCAGGCTCAAGGGCAGCCCTGGCCCCAGGGTTCTTGTGCCCCTCTTGTGCTCTAAGGAACCAAACCATGAACAAACTCCTTGCCATCAAATCAATAGTGGGTTCATGAGTTGTGCTGCTAGCTACATGGTCAGCAGTTCGAGACCACCACCTGCTCCCAGGAGAAGGATGAGGCTTTCTACTATGAAGAGCTACAGTCTAGGAAACCCACAGGGGCAGTTCTACCCTGTCGTGTAGAGTTGCTATGAGCGCTGCAAGGAAAGCACCTGGTGAAACATGCTCCCAGTCGTTAACCCCTCTGTGCTGTGCCTCTCCCACCTCCGCTCCTACCCCAGCCCAGCCAACTCACTCAACAACCAGAGCAGAGAGCTTAACTCCCAGCAAGGATCCCCACCCAGGGCCCTGCCCCAGCTCCAAGGGCCACAGTGCTGCTTACAGCCACACGCTGGGTGCCGCAGCCCTCTGGACTGCCCTACAGCTCCTGGAAAGCTGCGGCCCCCAAACAGAGGGCAGCCCAGGGCAGCAGTGCCCGCCGCATCTGTTCTTCTCCACCCTCTACTCCCACATGCTCCCTCCATTCCACCAAATTACAATCATACACAGGCTGGCCCTTCCTGCGGGAAAAGGCAGCTGGGCCCCAGACATCTTTCTGGGCTGAAGGCAGATCCCGAGAATTCCCTAGAACGACGTTCCTATGCAGTTACCTGCAGGAGTGCGGGGCTTGACACCTGGACATGTGCACGTACATGCAGTCATAAATACACCTGACAGGCTGTCACCGGCAGTCACCTCACAA